CATGTATATGTAAATGAACGCAGCATGTTGTTCACTTGTCGTTGTTGTATTTGTTGGTAGTGTACTGTAAGTCGTGTAGATATTGTAATTTAAATAGTGTACATAATTAGAGCCATATAGTATAAGTAGAGTACAGTGTTGTAAGTAGTCTAAGGAGCGTACTGTTCGTAATTGTATTGTAAGTATTGTTTCCCTTGTATTGAAAAAAAAAACTCTGTGTACGTGTTGAGGTATTTCGCAAACACTCGTACAGCAGACAGGCTTCAACATTGCAGCTGCACTGGCCATCTTGTAGGTCTCAAAAGAATTGCTAACTGGTGACATTCGTTTTATTTCTCTTCCGGTTTGTTATATAAAAAAAAATGACGTGTGTGTGCAGACAGTGTTTACAAACTATGATTTACAGTGTGGTTTTAGTGTATTTCATTCACTGCATACAGGGCGATCAAGAGTGTGATTCTCTTTAAATATAAATAATTAAACTAATGTTAGAATGACTATTAGCCAAATAGTGTTCAACTTCTGTCCTCACCCCACAGTTCTCATCCACTACAGTGTATACTGACTGACTAAAAGATTGAACCTCATAGACGAGTGTAGGCAGACTTATTTGTTGAGTTACGTAATGACCGAGGTTGAGTTGAAATACGAAACGATAGGATTTCTTGCAAATAATTGCTGAGATCGTTAATTTATCTGAAATGTACGGCAGAAGTTGTAACTTTGAGGGACTTGACATGACTAGAACGCAAGTGAATCACGACAAAAATAGATCATCTGTTGCTATAAGTAAACGAGAAGAGCTATCACGCCAACACGTAATATAGTCGAAGCTTTTTTCCTTGTTTTGTATCCTCGGTGGTCGCCAAAAATAACTTTTCAACGCTTCTGTACACCGCGCTTTGGAGTTGTAAATGGCAAAGTTAAATGTACTCAGTAATTTCTTTACGCGAAGTGGCAATTTGCTGTATTTTAGAGTCTTTTCGGATGTGTAATGGCTGATTATCGTAACCCGGTCTTTCGTGTTATATTTACACTGACGTCACGAGATCACGCCATGCCCAAAATAACTTCTTCGTAATGCATTATCGTTCGGCATTTTGAGCAACTTGTGCAGGGCTTCATACTCAATGCATGCTGATTGCCACCGTTAACTTCAGCTCGCGTTTTGTAAAGCACTTTTACAATGGAGCGGCAAAACTCCTTGAGGCTGTCTATTGATACGTTAGTCCCTCCTGTACCGTGCAGCAGGCATCGAGGATTTCTTGGTAAAGTCCTCTTTTCTCGGTTCTTTGTTTGTAGTTTAGCTAAATCTTCCAAACCTGCAGTTTCGTCTTCGACTGTTCTTCGTTGCAAATCAATAATTTTGCTTGCCTTTTATTTATAAGCATACTATTATTTATACCTTGTTAATTTTTCTGTTGGTAGATTTTTGTTCTCCGTGCTTTTTGTCTTTACACGAGCAACACAGAGCAGAGTCACGCTCGATGTTCACACTGTCTAGCCTGAATATTGTATTCACTACATCAATACAACTATCAGAATTGGTCTTTCAGAATATTCTCTACACGTTTGAACGGTGTTTTGCATGAAATGTAAATGGAAGTATCCAGATCTATATAATGTTGTTGTTGTGCGTTGGCGATCAGATTCAGGTGTATGTAGCCTCAAGATTGATCAGCGTGAAATTTACACGATTACAGTGTTATGAGAAATATATGGGGACCAGAATTTCCATGTTGATTTTGGGAATTGTGGCCTTTAAGTACCTAGTGGAAGTCACAGTCTATTAATTAGTGTCCTTTTTGAAAGCCGGCCAAGAGCATTGTCTTAGCTTTAAAGGTGCAGCTAAGTAAGGCTTATTCTTTGCTGCTTCTTGTGTCTCCAATCCGCCTGAGCTGTGTTTTACTGGCGACAGCGGGTGTCAGTCGGAATGCGTGACTTGCTTTCCTCTTTTATTGTCTTAGTCAACTTTTCAGGGTTGATAACGTCTAATACACTATACAATCTCGCCTTACGTCAGATTACTATTCTGATAAGTTTCTGACACACAAATGGTGGATCTTTTCCAAGATTTATGCCACAAAAACATGTCATATTTGTGTTGAAAAATCATTGTCAAACTTCGCAGGCACTTGCCATCATGGACATCATTACTGTTAGTGTCACTCGGAGCACAGTTAATAGAGGGGAATGGTTATGAAACTTGACAAAGTTCTTTGTTGTATGTTTTCGTTTTCTTGGCCTTGACCGTGCACAAAACACAATGGAACTAACAATAGAAATGTTTTGATTACGTAACTCATGCATAGGTCGTGCACGGTCGTGGACCTTCCAACATAAATCTTGGCATTTTTGCTTGCTCCTTTGATGTTTGCCGGACTTCATAACCATTCCCCTCTATCAACTATGCTCAGAGCACTTCCGGATCGTAACGTAACGCTTTTCTCCACTAATGAGGAGCAGTTTACCCAAATAACGGAAGTAAACTACAGTTTTATTAACGTATTCTTCATTTGATTGGCAGATTTAGACGCTTCTCGAAGTGAGTGCTGGGTTTGTTACGACAGCGAGCGTACAGATGCTGGTCCAATGATATTTCCCTGTCAATGTAAGGGAGATGTGGCCGCCGTACACCATGACTGTCTCAAGAGATGGCTCATTGAGGTACAGAAGCGCCGTGAACGTAAATTTCATGTCTGTTGTTGTTGAATACCGGGAAGATCAGTCCCTCTCTGTTTCTTGCGACAGCCGTTAAAAACGTCATATTTTAGCTGTCTTCACCGGCTGAAATTGACATTTGGTGGCCTCTTTGCTAACGTGGCCACGGTTAGGAACGTTTTTGTTTGTCTTGAATTCGACCGCCCTCAAGTCTGCAAATCAACCCTAACCTGGAGCTAGCAGTACCTCCCCTCCCATTTTCCCCCTTTCCCCTCTCCCCCTCTCCCCCTCGTGCAAGGCCCCTAGCTGAGAATTTTTAGTGCGCACTTTTTACAATTTATTATTACTTGTAAAATAAATTATTCATCACACAAACGAGGTATATAGTGAAGAGTAAGGTGAACATACCAGGTACTCGTCATGTGAGAGTAGACTCCACTTGGCTCGAAATTGATCGCTTGCAAATAGCTAAAGCTTCGCGTATCAAAATAGTTTTCTTCATTATCGCTAAAAGGAAGGAATTGAAGAGGTTTTAGACTCTAAATTCTACTTGAAAACATATTTTCCTGTCCAGTCGTAATCAAGATGTGATAATTTAGGACGGGATTACTTTAATTTGATGCTTTTTGTTTCTTTTGGTTTTCCAGTCATCTGTGGATAGTGGAGAGGATAACCGTAAGTGCAAAGTTTGCGGAGAAGAGGTAGGCTTCAGTTTTTTCTATCTGTTTACCCTAGGCTACCAATTGCGAAATATTATTTTTCATTTATATTGATCGCTATGCATTTTGCTTAAAACTTGAACATCACCTCGGGAATCACTTTCCCACCACACGCTTTTTACACTTCCCGACCTGTGCTCGAAAAGTCAGATTGCAGTCGCAAATGGTAACATATACAGTATAATTACACGAGAAAATCCAGCGATCACCCGCAAATAGATCTATGCACTTCACAGCATAATGTTACCAAATAGCAGCCAGCAACATTCGCCCTTTGTCATAGAGACATGTACGTACTCAATCCATCTATCAGTGATTGTCGTAGCTGTAAATATAATACCAGTATATTTTCGAGACTACACAAAATGCTTTCGGGACAATTGAAAAAATATATTGATGTAAAAACTTAACTCTGCTCTTGCCTATGTAAGTAACGTGATCTATTTAAATCTCTGACAGTACAAACTGGCAACGGGAAGGGCGTGGTTACCAAGTGGTCTGACTGTACGGTAAGATGTGACATTTTTCGTTGTTCAAGACCTGTATCACCGTCGTGATTTCGTGTAACTGATTTCTGCAAGTTGCTTTCAGCTACTATAACTAACCAATAACTCACTCACTTATCCCTATCGTCCCGGCTGGGACATAAGGCCATCATGACATTAGCTCTCTACTTCTCGGGTCCCCGGCGATCTTTTTAACCTCCGCTCAGACAAAGCCAAGTGCTTTGACCTTGCAGTATTCGTGTTGTTGATTGTAGACATTGGGTTCAGACGACTGTAATCCTGTCCATGATGATTGGAGCGCCAATCGGTGTTTACATGGTTTGCTTATCCAGCATACCTCCTGCTTGTAAGATTCTGGTCATAGGACTTGCTGTTGTGCTGGAATACGTGTGTCTTAGGTGAGTGGGACCTCATAAGTTAACTGGTTAGTCATGAACAGAGAAGGTCAGTTGTTTGGTTGATACAGTCAGTCAGTCAGTCAGTCAGTCAGACAGACAGACAGACAGACAGACAGAAAGTCTTCTGTCTGTCTGTCCGCCAGTCAGTTCTTTAGTCCGTCAGGTCAGTCTGTCAGTCTGTCTGTCAC